CACCCACACTGATAAAACTTAGAACCAAAATTTTCACCATCCGATCATTTCCCAAAGACCAGTTCTCATACTAACACATGGTATGAACCTTAACCAGCTGCAACAACTCCTGCATACACTCACAAGGTGCAACCACACGACGTAACACCTTACACATATGCCCATAATAATATCTCTGAACACCATAGCTGCTTATAATCAAATCCAGCCCTGGCAATTAACCTCATACCATCTAGAACCCTGTTCCAAGCCCTCACAACACTAACAATGATGTAAGAACATGAAGATCCCATAACCATTCACTCAAATCAACAAGTCACATCTAATTCCACCTGGGCACACACCTCGCAAGCTAAAACCCAATAAGCACAACGCGAATATGATTGAATATGCAAAGAGAAAAACATGAGAGAACTATCAAACAAGCCCGACAGGCACAACTCCCTATCAGTACCATACTACGAATCAATTCCATAAGGGAAAATCAAAACATATGAACTAATCAAAAGGATCTCATCCTGATATAACTCCACTGTGGCACGCAGCCTGGTCCAAACATAACAAACCGCATGAAAGAGCGAGGGTCTCACCCTCAATGCTGGATCACAGGTAGAATACACCTTACACCAACGAAAAACTTCCACTAACTCAATTCCGCAAAACAAAATCACAATATGTAACGAACTTCCAAAACTGGTAGAGCATCTAAATCACAAATTGTAACCAAACCATCCAAAAATCACATCAAAACCTACCGTAATGAGAAATAGAAAGTCACTTATAGTCTCATAGCTCTCAATAGTGAACAAAATAAAATGATAGACACATGCTACCACTATATATCCCAATAGGGGTAAACACATAAGCAGAGTACAAAATCACGAAACTCACCCATATGTGAAGCAAGATAAGAATGATTCTCCTCTATAACAATTCGAAACCATACATGTTATCGCGCCCCTTTTTCTCACGAAAGTAGATTTCAACATGTGACAAATTTATTAAAAGGGTATTAAAAGAGGAGAGTCGCCACCTAACGATTTTAAGGTGTGTTAGGGCACCTATTTGCAAATAACTCTGTTTTAACTAGTCTGTATCGCCAAAGATCGGGTAAGGGCTCAAATTACCTCGAAGAGAAGGTGTTAGGCACTCTTCAAGGTCCACAACTGTGGGTCTTGGCCGAAGTTTACACTATGCGGACTATATATTATAAATGTCCTATGTGATCATATAAGCGAGTGAAGACAAAGAATTTAAAGGTTCTATTATGAATAAGTGTAAGAAAAATCGGACAACAGTTAAACTATATAGATAATCAGTACAAGTATTTAGAGGTTATATAGTACAACTTGATTAGTCTATATTTGATGAACAATAACATATAAAAGAAAGGGGCTCCTATATTTTTTAGCGTAAAGGATCACCCCGTGCAACGTAAATAATACTTCACAACTCCCTTAGGGTAGGGGTTGCTCATATTATTCAGCGGGCACAAACTATCATCTCCTGCTACCCGATTACTATGTTAAAGTTGTTTACCTAAAGGCGCTCTAATTCAACTCTACGTCATGTCCTATGCATGCACTACACGTCCCATGCCTATGGTCCAGGAGGCTTTGGACCTACTATTAGGTGGTTCTAGACTTTGCTTAGAATGCTCAAAAAATGATAAAACTAGAGCACACTCAAAACATATAGGACTTCACATAAAGGCAATAAAAGGCTCAAGATAACCTAGACACATAAACAGCAAATGCACGCGGCAGATTAGGCAGTAGACAATTTTTAGAATTAAGACGCATTAGAGACATTAAGTCCTATAGCTTCTGATTTCCAGTATCATACAAGCAGTACTGCAGCTTTAGACTAACGCATAGGCAGATTAAAGGCATTGCAGGTCCTATAGGCATGATCTCTAAATGTTTGCATGATGAGATGGTACACTACTTGAAAGCTCAGGATTAATAGCGCTGATTTTTATAAACATATTGTCTAAGATTAATAACAGTATCCAATGGGCAAGATTTCTAACAGTTGACAATTGAAATTGATTTACTAATACTTTATCCATATAGGCATGTCATCTAAATGTGACAATAAAATGAAGCAACAAAAGTAATTGATTAGTTGATTAAGATCCTATAGTCATAATATCTAGGTGAGCAGTGTACTAAAAGCAATAGAAACGATTGACTGATTGATTAGTTGGAGTCCTATAGGCATGGCATCTAGATTAAAAAAGCATATGTTATTACATCCTATAGGCATGTTATCTAAGTGTGCACAATAGTAATCATAGAAACAAGTATGGAAAATACTTGGACTAACATGCTTGGACGGTGTACATGTGAAGTGTGCATGATCCCTATAAGCATGATTTCTATGAGTATGTAGAATAAGAGTACGTCAAACGAATAGCAAACAAATCAATTAAATCCTATATGCAAGTTTTCTACCTGTTCATCCGAGAATCGGAATACCCTAACCCCTTTTCACTAATCTCCCCCATCATTTGTTTACAAATTATTACATGACCAAAGATAAAAGAAGAAATGGACTCAAATATTACATAATCGAGATGATTATAGGCCCAACAAATAGAGCAGACTCAAGAAGAGCTAACCCAGCACTGACTGGGCCTTCAATAGACACTTTTTAATTTGAATAGCAGGCCCAAATCCAAACACTTCCCAACACAGGAGAGTATGCTCATTTGCACAGCCCAAAGACACTCATGGACTCATATCCAACCCAATAGTTACAATATTGACCAATTTACCAAATAAATTAATGGACCACACATGGAAATCAACCAAACAGTTCGAAAGCAACACCTCATAGAGACATGGTTGTATGACATTTAGCAGGATTCGTAAACACATTGGTATTTTAGAAGCAAGAGTGACTATATTGCTAAAATACCAATTAAGAATATAGAATTAGCAATAAAAGGATCTTAAAAACTTAGGTGTCTAAGTCATTAGGGGTCAGACAGGGTCATAGTCAGGAGATGACAATTATACACGACAAACAGGCAAGCAAGCAATCGATGAGAAGCCTAATCATGCCAAGTATAACACAAAGATCTCAAAGACAAAGGTATCATGGCAGGAAGACATATTATCTTAAGGTCAAATTGAACAGGCAGACACAGAACTTAAGCCAGATGACTATGCATGATCATGGGATCTAAATGTATAGGATTCAACTAGAAGCATAAGCAATACCAAAGAATGAAAGATTGACCAAACATCAAAGATAAAGCAACATGTTTGGTTAAAGCATTGCAACAACAAATATGGTTCATGTAAGTAGGTAAGAACAAAATTCACAAAAAGGAATTATCTGTAGAAATTCACTAAGGCAAATTCTGGGTGGGAGATGATTCCCTAGGAATTTCAGTGCCAGAATCTAGAACAGGGCATGAGAAAAACTCATAATAAACAGCAGAACAACAAAGTAAACTTAAAGGTACACAGTCATTCCAGTTGAACTTATTGGGGTTTTAATAATCTAGGTAGGTTGTGACACTTGACGACTCAGAATCGCAAAATAGCTACAAAGCAAGTAAAATTGCCAATGATAATAACATAATATTAGAGGCATATTGGCTCAAACAACAAGGGTATGCGAAGTACTGAAAACAAGCAAAGAGGATAGAATTGAAAAGGGCGAGACACTTACCAGTATGCGGATTCAACAAACAAATAGAAGAGAAAATGTAGTGTGAGCAATAACTTCAAATACCTGCAGAAAAGAAAACAACCAAAATATCCAAATCCTAGTGCGTCAGAGTTCACAGGAGCCTCAAATGAGCACCGAGTAGTGCTCACACTAGGGAGGTCGATATAGAGGGTTCTGGTGGCCTTGGCTTTTAGCCGGCCAAGATCTAAGAGTGCAAAAAGTATAGAAGAGTGAGATTTGAGAGAACAGTAGTGGTAACAATAGTTAAGTAATGAATCATTAAGCCTTAGGGGGGAACTGGAAAGGGTGGTTTATATAGTAGCAAAAGTAAACACACAAACAAGTAAAAACAGTCTATTAAACATAATAACCAGAAATGGACCCATATGGCCTGGTAGTGAGTGTACATGGCCTGGTATTAAACATAATAACCAGAAACGAACCCTAGTTGAAGATGGAGAATGAAAATAGTAACAGATCTCACTGAATTGGACCCATATGGCCTGGTAGTGAGTGTACATGTGGATGGTACAAAATCAGAGTTGAACGAACACACAATGACTCAGCTTCTATAAATAATTGAGTACCAAATTTTTTAACGTTGAGGAAATGGTAAGAACCATCGTGTGAGCAAAAAAGGAAAGGGGATATGAAAGACTTTCCATGTGATATCGGATTAGGGTTGGGGTTTGAATGGAAGTAAACAACCAGAAATGGTAGTATAACAGAATGCTGAGAATGGGGAGAGTATTGTGACAGTACAGGAGGATAATGGAGTTAAAGAAATAGGGAGGGAAGATATGCATGGTAGATGGCAAAGGCAGAATCATAGGAGAGGGCAACAGGGATGGATCCAACCACATAAACAGAATAATGTGGTAAAGCAAACATATTCAGTGGTGCCCGTGCCAAATACTTTTCAGAATCTCGGAAGGATAAGGCAGGAACAAGTGTTGCTAATGAAGGGAAGGAAGGAGGGGGTGGTACCATTTTTCCTATGGGGAATGGTTAAGCTAATGAGTTAGAATACAAGAGGCCTTAATGGCCTCAATAAGCAGAAAGAGGTAAAACTCTTATGTAATGACTAGAATGTTGGATTAATTGGGTTACTAGGAACAAGATTAAAAAGGAATAAGGTGGAGAGTATTATTAATACTATGTTTGCAGGGTGACAATACTATAGTAATCATATATCACACTATAATGGTAGAGTGGTGTTAGTGTGGAAACCAGAATGGTATGAGGTGAGAATAATAAATGAAATTGAACAGGCAGTAACTTGTCAAGTAAAAGACATTCCTATGCAAGCCGTATTCATGGTCACATTTGTGTATGCACATAATCTCAAAGATGAGAGGAAAGCATTATGGGAATATGTAAACCAGATGAGCATGGGTTGCCAGATTCAATGGATAATCATGGGGGACTTCAATGTTGTATTGCAGCAGGAGAATAGACTTAGAGGGAATCCAATAGCATTAAGTGAGGTGGTGGAATTTCAGGAGTGTATTGATAAATGCATACTTATGGAGTTACCAAATAATGGGTATGTGTACTCATGGAGTGATAAGCAGGGGATAAATAGAATATGCTCAAAAATAGATTGGGTAATTGTCAATGGGGAATGGATAGATACAATGGAGCAATGTAAAACTTATGCTCTTTCAGAAGGGGTAAGTGATCACTGTCCATTAGTGGTGGAGATGATTAAGACTCATGCAAGGAAGGGGAAAGCTTTTAGATACTGTAATATGTGGAGTAAATACCATGACTTTATGCACATGGTTGAACAGGGATGGGCAATACAAGTAGAGGGGTGTAAGATGTATCAAGTAGTAAAGAATTGGAAGGCTTTGAAGCAGAAACTTAGAACATTGCACAAGAGGAACTTCAGTAATGTCATAAATGAAGCAAACAAAGATAGAGAGGAAATGTAGAAAATACAAGCAATGCTGCAGGAGACACCACTTGATCAGGAGCTACAGCAAAAAGAGAAAGATGCAAGGGACAAGTTTAGAGAATCATCTATTATGGCAGAACATTTCTTGATGCAGAGAAGCAAGGCCACATGGATCAGACTTGGAGATGATAATACCAAGTATTTCTTTTCCATTATTAAACATAGAAGATTAGTACAATCAGTGACTCAAATTAAAGATGAGAGGAAACAATTGCAAACAGAACTGGAGAAGATAGCTGATGTATTTGTGAACTATTATAAGAAGATGTTAGGTGCTAATAGAGTAACTAGGATAAAGGCATGGTAGGGGTTCCTAAATCAAGGCCATGTATTATCTGTTCAACAACAATTAGATCTGATAAAAGGGGTAACTGCACAGGAGGTAAAGAAAGCAATGTTCAGTATCAATGTTAATAAGAGTCCCGAGCCTGATGGGTGTGGAGCAGGATTCTTCAAGGATTCATGGAGAGTGGTTAGTATTGATATCACTGAGGCAGTTATGGAGTTCTTCAGGAATGGATAAATGCTCAATCAACTTAATGCAACTATGATTACTCTGATCCTCAAGGTGCCTAATCCAACAGAAGCTAGTCAATTTCGACCTATATCTTGTTGCAATGTAATTTACAAGTGTATATTAAAGGTATTGTGTAACAGGCTTATTGAGGTGCTTCCTACAATAGTAAGTGAAAATCAAGCAACATTTGTGAAGGGGAGGTCATTAGTTCATAATGTTCTTATGTGTAGTGATTTACTAAGACACTACAATAGGAAAACTACTCCTAGATCTCTAATGAAGATTGGCTTAAGGAAGGCGTATGATATGGTACGGTGGGAGTTTATTGAAGAAATGTTGAAGCGATATGGATTTCCTCCTAAGTTCATCCAGCTGATCATGGCATGTGTAACAATAACAAAATTCTCAGTGAAGGTTAATGGGGAGGGGTATGGTTATTTTGAGGGGAAGAGGGGCTTAACGCAAGGGGATCCAATATCCCCACTACTCTTTGTTATGGTGATGGAATATTTTTCTAGGATTCTAAAGAGGATGAGCCAATTGCCAGATTTTAGATACCACCCAATGTGCAAGGAACAACAACTCACTCACATGACATTTCCCGATGATCTAATGCTATTTTGTAAAGGGAATGAAGCAATTGTTAGGAGAATAATGGAAGCACTCAAACATTTCTCAGAGGCTATAGGCCTGGAGGTAAACACAGATAAGTCAAGCATCTATATTGCAGGGGTAGATGCTGAGTTAAAACAGAAATTACTGGACATCACATGCTACTCAAATGGCACATTTCCTATGAGATACTTAGGCCTCCCACTATCACCAAAGAGGTGGAGTAAAATGGACTGCCACCAATTGTGTGTGAAGATCACTGAGAAGCTAAATGCAATATCAAATAGGCACCTTTCTTATGCAGGGAGGCTACAGGTGGTAGTGTCTGTACTATTCTCATTACATAATTTTTTGGGGGCAGTGTTTATTCTACCACAAAGTGTACTGAAGGAAGTAGATAAGAAATGCAGAGACTTCTTATGGGGGAGCACTACAGAGAAGAAGAGGATACCTTTAGTAGCATGGGAGAAAGTATGTCGACCTAAGAGTCAAGGTGGGCTAAACATTAAAAACTGCAGATTGTGGAACATAGCGTATGTTGGAAAGTTAATATGGTTATTGATTAATAAGAAGGAAATACTATGGGTGAAGTGGATACGTGGCATTTACATGAAAGCAGGTGGTGATTTCTGGACACACCAACCAACACAAGATAGCAGTTGGTATTGGAGAAAATTACATGCTATAAAGCAACAAATACAAGGATGTTACATGAATGGTAAATATTGTCTTACTAGTAATGGCAGGTACTCAATCTCAATGGGGTACAACCAACTAGTACGATAAAGGCTAAGGTGGAATGTTGTAGATTTGATATGGAGCAGAATTATGCAGCCCAAGCACAGATTCATATTATGGCTGGCAGTGTCGAGGAAGCTACTAACAAAAGACAGAATCATCAAAATGGGAATTCAGTGTGTAGATGGAACATGTGGACTTTGTGAGCTAAATTGTCTGGAAGATATGCATCATTTGTTCTTGCAGTGTACATGGGCAGAATGGCTATGGGAAAAAGTGAAGGAATGGACAGGAATGCACATTACAAAGCATGATGATCTCCCAGGTACTTTGATGAAGGTTAAGTGCAGGAAATGGAGCAAATTCGGGAAGGAAGTGGCTACAACAATAATAAGAGCTGTGATATATAATATATGGCAGAGTAGGAACATATTTTTCTTTGGAAAACAGAAATTTATTAGAGATTTTGTAATACACCAGATAAAGAACATAGTTATAGAAAATATCCAAATGTATTTTGNCTACTGCCAGTTGTGCAAGACTGGTACTTGGGTGCTCTTAGGTGTATGAGTTAATGTGGTTTTGAAATGGTAATATTCACAGTTATTACCAAAACAATAATAATTCGGTATCAACAACTGCCTCTCTTTACCCGGAAATGATGAAAGAGTTATCGGGTAAAGAAAGTGATGACAAATTTTGTCCCAAATGATTGATGATGCATTTTTGAAAAAATAGGAGCCGAACCCTGATTCTTGAGTTGCCTACATATCCCTGGTGTTACGAGAATCAGGCCGTGTGTAGTTATGGATCCAATGGCGAATGAAACCGATGGAGTTGTTATAAGAGTGGTCGTGTGTTTTGAAAAGGAGTTTTTTGGATATGATAGTGTCATGATAAACGAATAATTTCAGATGGAGCTATGAATGCCAATTTGAACGTTACGGATGTATAAGGCAAATATTTAAGTGGTTACGGGATAAGGAGTAATAAATTAATGATCATTGGTTACGTTTGAGATCATCGAGGGATGCGAACGTTGTGAACGGAAACCGGAGTAAGGATTGCTCCTCTTTGTAGAACGGTTACCTCCCGAGTTACCTGTAAAACTTAAATCACACTGCACGCGAACAGATATGGGTTATTTAAATATGATGCAAATTCCCTTCGGACCATGAGACTTGTCTTTCGATAAGGAGGATGATGTCCTTAGATCATAACGTCCTGGGCCATGAAGCAAATGATAAGGGATTCGCAAGCCATGAAATGGTGTCTTTGGGCCATGAGGATGGTGCCTCTAGACTATGATGCCCTTGAATAATGATGTTCAGTTTTAAGAAGTCCTCAGGCCATGGCATGATGTCTTCGGGCTATGAGAATGATGCCTTCAGACTATGACGCCCTTGGACAATATGGTGGTATTTCAACCCATGAAATTCAAAGATGCGGAGATATCGATCGTTTGATAGAGGGAACATATGATGTGTAGTTGTATGCGAGAACGTGACAAGATAGCGCTTAGCCTTGTGTGTGATGAAGGCAGTGTTTATCCCTATGCAGAGGAAGGCAGTGTTTAGCCCTATGCAATAATGGAGGCAGAGCATTGCCTCGTATGATGTAATAGAGACTGTGCTTAGTCTCATGCAAGGGAAGGCGATGCTTAGCCTTATGCAATGATGGAGGCGATGCTTAGCCTCATGAAATGTAATGGAGACAGTGCTTAGTCTTATGCAAAGGAAGGCAGCGCTTAGCCTTATATAAGGGTGGAGGCAGTGCTTAGCCTCATGCAAAGAATGGAGCATTTAGCCTTATGCAATGATGGAGGCAATGCTTAGCCTCATGCAATGTAATGGAAACAGTGCTTAGTCTCATGCAAGAAAATGTAGTACTTAGCCTTATACAATGGTGGAGGCAGTGCTTAGCCTTATACAAGGATGACTGCAATGCTTAGCCTCATGCAATGTAATAGAGATAGTGCTTAGTCTCGTGCAAGAAAGGAAATGCTTAGCCGTATGCAATGGTAGAGGCAGTACTTAGCCTCATACAAATAATGAGGGCCGTGATTAGCCCCATGCAGAGAAAGACAAAGATTGAATATGAGAAATAAAATGATTCTTAGCTTGGCGCGTTTGCGCTTGGTGACTTCTGTCAATAAAGATAGCATTCTTGTTATGAATTTACGGGCATGCTTGTCATGTTCATTATGCCTGCATCCAAAGAAACATTGTGAGTTTTTTGGGAGAAAGGTTGGTTCGTGCCTTTGATTCTTCATCTCGCCTTTGCTCCTTGTCTTGCTACCTCGTTCGAGTCACCCTGGGTAATATCTGGCTATTACAGAAAATGAAAATTTTGAAAATATGCATTTGTGACAAATTATTTAAAAAAATGCAGTAGTTCAAAATATGTGATAATGTATAAAGGCGAATAATTTTGTTGTATCGATGACCGTTACATGCTTCTGAGACACTGCAATCTCCTCAACTTGGAATTTTGAGGACCCTCCTAAAAATTCTGCCGCAATTTAAATGCATACTTCTGGAGTTATACTTCTTTGTGATATTCGACATAATAAGATTGACGAACTAGAAATCTTGCCCCAGTTTATGTACATGGGGGGGGGGGGAAA